GATAGGGTGTCCACACAGATGGACAGCTTGGTATTTGATGTCAAGAGGCTGACCAGGGTAAAAAGGGCATCCAAATGGAGGGACAGCTGGATGTGAGGTGCTGTGACCCAAAAGTGTGCTGAGGATGGTGGCCATGCAGAAGGATAGACTGAAGCCCATGCAGAGTGAAAGAGCCATCCATACAGGGCTGTATCTTTAAGTGTCCACTGAGAGGGCCTAGGAGCTGTGACACCCCGATAGCAATAAACACACTTAACACCGGATCTTGTCCACTAAAAACCACTGTCCACTAAAAGGAACCAAGGCTTCATGGAAAAATGGCCAATTCTGAGGCTAGGCAAAGGAAAATACAAAATGAGCCTAAAGCATCTTCATGCACCATAAAGAAAGAGTTTACTGTCAAAAGGACCCAGAGTTCAGCTCCCACTGATATCTAGAATAATTGGAAAATAAAAATAAAGAATCACAGTAAATTATAACCCACTGAACAAAATAGGAAACTATGAGTCCATATTGATATGATAAATAAAAAATTTGATGAGGAATGAGATGTTTACATAGTTTCGAGGTAACTCACATAAATAATTATAGAGAAATAGAGTAATATGGCAGCAGAGAGATCTGGCAGACACCAGCTTAATCAAGTGATCAGACTAAACAAGACTAATAGTGGAGTAAATCAGAATCGTGCACCCCCAGATAAAATGCAATAGGAACAAAGCTTCACTTCTGCCAAAGATGCAAACCTGAATCTAATCATAAAGAAACATCAATTTAACACAAACTAAGGGACATTCTACAAAATAACTGGCCCATGATCTTCAAAAGTGCAAGGTCATGAGAGTCAAAATAAAGACTGAGACCAAAGATCAAAGAAATGTGACACCTAAATGCAACACGTGATTCTATTTTTGCTATAAAAAAATTTATGGTCCATTCATGAAATTTAAAAGGGATTTGAGGAGTAGATGATAGTATGTACCAAAGTTAATTTCCTGATTTTGAAAGTAGCATTGAGATTATGTTTGTAGAAAATACACACAAATGTACTTGGAATGATGAACGACTTACTCCCAAATGGTTCTAGAAAAAAGGGTTTTACTGTATTTGCAAAGAGAAAAGGATAATAAGGAAATAGTAGTCACAACTTTATGCACATAAATGTGACAACTCAGAAGAAATGAAGAAATTCCCTGAAAAACACACTTACCAAAACTAAACTAGATTAAATAAAAAAATCTGAAGAGCTCTTTATCTATTAAATAAATTCAACTTGTAATAAAAAAACCTTTTCACATAGAAAACTCCAGGCCCAAATGGTTTTACTTGTGAATTCCATCAAGCATTTAAGAATGAAGTAGTACCAATTACACGAACGCTTTCAGAAACATACAAAAGGAGGGAATAACTCCCAACTCTTTTTATACAACCAGTACAATCCTGATAACAGAAAATGATGAAGACATTCTAAAAGGGAGAACTGTAAAAGCCATAAAGATCAGTAAAGAAGAGGTAAAATCTTCCATGAATACAGGATGGAAAAAAAGAACAAAATTATACTACCCAACTTCAAGACTCACTACAGAACTATATTTATCATGTGGTGGTAATGACCTAAGGGTACCCAAATAAATCACTGGAATAGAAGAGAGAGTGTAAAAACAGATCCACGTTTTTAAGTCACTTGATATTTGATAGAAAGGCATCAAATGCAATGGGGAATAACAAATGGTGCTGAAACCATTTGCTAACCAAATAGGAAAGAAAAAAATAAATAAAAAGAAAATCAACCCCTAACTCACACCTTACACAAACACCAATTTAAATGAATCTTAGACCTGAACGTGAAAGCTAAAATTATAATGCTTCTAAAAGAAAACAAAGAACATCTTCATGTCCTAGGGGTAGAAGCAGATGAACAAGGAAAGCAAAAACCATAAAAGAAAAGCAGAAGTCTTTTTTTTTTTTTTTTTTTTTTTTTTTTTTTTT